TCAAGTTTGGGGTGAACCCGTCGTCGTTTGACCCTTCATCCACTCGTATCAATTTTAACGGTTTTGAATGAATAGAACTTTTCACATGGCTCGATGAAGGGTCAAACGACGACGGATTCACCCCAAACTTGGTGTGTTGGGGTTTTAGAATATGTAAATCAAGTTCAACGGAGCGGGCCTAAATTAGGGGATGGTTCCTAAAAAAACACCCTATCATTAAAAGCAAAAGAAAATAGAAAAACGAATAATGTCCATTTAACCCGACTAATAAATAAATCAGATATAGTTAAGAGATTTGAACCATCAATATCACTTGATCATATTAAAATGATAAGACTATTTTCAAGAGAAATCAAATAATCAAATAGAATAAGGAACTTGGTCAGTCAATCACAATTATAATTGGAAACGTGATCAAATGATATATCCAATTATTAAATGTGGGTCGGATATGGTTGAGCTCCTTAATAACCCGTTAAATGGATTCGAAATGGATCCGCTTTGTACCCAGATCCGATTACCATCCCCAATAAATCCGCAGTTGAGCGCCGAGCGCCCCAAAAACTCACTCAGCAACCGAAAACGATGATGCAGCGAGCCGCTCGATCTCTCGTCTCCAAGCTCCCAAAATCCCCAAAACCCTCGAAATTCCCCCAAATTCCCTCAAAAATCCCCCAGAACCCATCAAGATCTCGCCTTTCACCCTTTACAACCGAAATCAGTCCCAGCAGAACCCACCATCGCAGTCTGAGCACAAACAGCGATCACAGCAGCGAGATCGATGAAATCAATATGAAGTTCGCGGAGGCTCGGGAGGAGATCGAGGCGGCGATGGAATCGAAGGAGACGGTGTACTTCGACGAGGAGGCCGAGTGCGCTCGCGATGCAGTGAAGATTGTGTTGGATAAGTTCGAGGGCCTGATGGCGAGGATGGAGGAGAAGGAGAGGATGGCGTTGCAGAGGTCGATGGGGCTTAAGATTGAACAGCTCAAAGCTGAGCTCAAGCAGCTGGATGAGTAGAATCTTGGAGGAATTCTTTTGAGGTGGGTCTCTTTATTAGCATTAAGATATGATCAGAGTTTAGAATTTTGGATTCAGAGGTCATGATTCATGTTGCAATAATCATAAATTTGTTGAATTTTGCTCCTGAATATGGTTTTATTATAAGAGTTCTATTAGTAAATCTAAGCTATGATGTGGAATGCGTTCTGCTTGTTATTGAGGGTGATACTGAATATGTTATCAAAGTTTTTATTTTGGGTTCAGATTTTATGATATCCATTGAATAAAGTGTGCTTTAGGAATTTTAGGGTTACGAAACGAGTGAAATTTTGGGTAGGGTGAAGAAGAAATATGTTTAGCAGTATGATAATAGAAACGCGATTTAACATTCTCACGGTGTAATTTGTGAGAGGATTTGAAATTCAGATAAAACCACAATTACATGGAGTATATAAGATATATTAAAATGAAAATAGACCTAAAATATAAATATGGTTGAAAGTAGTTCAATGAGGAGGCCAAGTGCGCTTCCAAGGCAGTGAAGGTTGTGCTGAATAAGTTTGAGGGATGGATGTTGAGATTGGATGAGAATGGGAGGATAACACTGTAGAGGTCAATAAGTGTCTAGATCGAGCAATTTTAAGCTGAGCTCAAGCAAGGAGAATGAGAGGATAACACTGTAGAGATCAATAAGTGTCTAGATCGAGCAATTTTAAGCTGAGCTCGAGCAACTTGATAAAAGGAAACTTGCAGAAATTTTTTGAGGTGAATCTCTTGTTGTTTTTCGATAGTTTGATACTTAATTAGTGTTGTGCGCAGCGGAAATTTCGGCAGCACCTCTGGTGTACAACAAGAGAGTAAGATCCCAACTAAATCCCTGTTTTACAAAGGAAACAAGAATCGACAGTGATATATCTCAACAAAGTGGGATATACACTCTTCCTTTCATCAGTTCTAGGACTGACTTGTCGAGGGAACCTAACAAGCTATTACAAATTACAGCAAGACAAACTATTTTTACGTGGTTCGACAAGTTGCTTACGTCCACGGGACAAGGAGGGGGGAGATCTACTATTAGAGAAAAAGAGAATACAAATAGGGTTTACAATCACACAAAGTCTCACAAATAAAACCCTCAAACAATCTCTCAAATCTCTCACAATTTCTCTCTCAAAAAGGATGCACAAACCCTCTCAAAGTCGGCACGGAAGACTGCTCTAGATCTTCTCTCAAAGTCGGCGCCTCTGTGTTTTTTCTTTCAACTGTGTTCTCCCCTTCCACGCTAAACCTTAGGAACCGACGCGTGTATTTATAAGCAACCATTCAGGTGGGCCTCTTAGCCCGCTGAACTCAGCTCGAGAAACAAAATTCGTGTTGTTCACGTGCCACGTTCACAACGTGGGTCCTTACGTTCACTTCTCCCACTCTCGTGGCCCCACACGCTTTGCAAACCAACAATTCTCCATCTCGGCGAAGTTTTTTCAAAACTGAGCCGACACCAAAGCAATCAAATGTCTCACTTGTTACGTCCAGTACGAAGTGGAATAAATCCATGACAACGGACTCAATCCACAACAAGCCGGGAACTCAAACGAGAGCTCAAACAATCTCCCCCATCGAAATCAACTAATCCAACCGATTGCATCGAAAAGACTGCCTACGTATCCTCTTACCCAAGGAATCAAATCTCACGTAGTTCATCCAAATGGTCTCCAAAAACCTCAACACCGAAGAATGTTCAAAAGCTCCAAACAATGATCAAACTTAACATCCAAAACAACTTTGGTCAACATATCCACAGGGTTGTCCTTTGTGTGGATCTTCTCTAATATGACATCTCCATCATCAAAGGTATCACGAACGAAGTGGAATCTGACATCAATGTGCTTCGTACGTGCATGATAGACCTGATTCTTTGCCAAATAGATAGCCGATATGCTATCACCATACACCCGAATGGTCTCGTGTGCAATCCCCAAGTCCTCTAATAATCCACGCAACCACAAAGTCTCCTTCACAGCTTTAGTCACTGCCATATACTCCGCCTCTGTAGTAGAGAGAGCCATTGTAGACTGAAGTGTACATTTTCAACATACCGGTGCTCCTGCCAATGTAAAAACATATCCTAAAGTAGACCAGCGCTTGTCAAGAACCCCCGCATAATCTGAATTCACATAGCCAATACAATCCTTTCCTGTCTTCTCATTCTTCAGAAATACCTAACCAACATCCATGGTATCTTTGATATACCGTAGAATCCACTTCACGGCCTCCCAATGACCCTTCCCGGGATCGTGCATGAACCTAGATATCATGCTCGCGACCTATGACAAATCTGACGTCGTACACACCATAACATACATCAAGCTACCCACCGCACTGGCATATGGAACCTTCGACATATATTTTCTATCCTCAACTGAAACATGTGACATCTTAGCTGAAAGTTTGAAGTGAAGAGCCAATGGAGTACTCACTGCCTTTGCATTTCCATCAAAGCTGAATTTTTTCAACATCTTCTGCAGATAACTCTGTGTAAGCTTCAATCTCCCCTTCGTCCTGTCTCTCTCGATCTTCATACCCAATATCTTCTTCGCCTCTCCAAGATCCTTCATCTCAAATTCGGATGACAGCTCTTTTTTTAATTTTCGAATATCCGAGGAATTCCTGGAGGCAATAAACATATCATCAACATATAATAACAAATAGATGTACTCACTATCCTGTAGCTTGTGCATGTAAACATATAGGTCATATGAGCTCCTCGTGTACCCTCGGTCAATCATAAAGTCGTTGAATCTCATGTACCATTGTCGCGGCGATTGCTTCAATCCGTAAAGAGACTTCTTCAGTTTGCACAATAATTCTTCCTTTCCTGCAGCATTAAATTTCATAGGTTGTGTTATGTAGATCTCGTCATCTAAATCTCCGTATAGAAAGACTGTCTTCATATCCATCTGGACCAAATCCAAATCTCCGTATAGAAAGACTGTCTTCATATCCATCTGGACCAAATCCAAATCCAGCTGTGTCACCAATGCCAACAGAATCCTAATCGATTAATGCTTTACAACATGTGAGAATACGTCGTTGTAATCAACGTCCTCAAGCTGTGCATAACCCTTGTCAACCAATCTGGTTTTGTACCGAATGTCCCCAATAGAATATCCCTCTTTCTTTGCATACATCCACTTGCATCCAATAGCCTTCTTACCCTTCGGTAGCTTTGCAAGTTCCCAAGTATCGTTCTTCTGAAGAGAGCGCATCTCCTCCTCCATAGCTTCCCTCCACTTGATCGAATCAGAGCTAGACTCTGCCTCCTTAAATGTAGAAGGAACCAAATCATTAACGATCTCAGCTGATAAGGCATATGCAACCATGACATCATTATATTTAGCTGGCCGACGAATCACTCTTTTGGGTCTGTTTGCTGCAATAGACTCCTGAACATGACCCTGCTCCTGAGTCTCACCATCCACTGTATCCTTTATATGTCCGGTTATCATCTCATCTCCTCCCAGTGTCACCTCTGTAGGAGCCTTAATGGATACAATGCTATCTGGAGTAGGTGAAGTCACATCATCCTTCATCTGCTGCGATATCCTATCTGTCTAATATTCCTCCATCTGCTGAGGAACTTGACGTCTCATCATGTACGTCTTATCAAAAGTGACATATCTGCTAATAACTATCTTCTTGTCCTGTGGATCCCATAACTTGAAGCCTTTAACACCTCTAAAACCCACAAAGACAGTTTTCCTCGCCTTCGGATTCAATTTACCATCACTGACATGGTAATAAGTTGGACACCCAAATATCCGAAGCGACTCATAGTCACTAGCTACCGAACCAAACCAACGCTCCATCGGAGTCTTCCCCTGTATGGCAGTGTACGACAATCAATTCACGAGATGGCTCGCATAAACCAACGTCTCGGCCTAAAAGGATCTTGACAATCCACTCTGTGTCATTATACATCGCACCTTCTCCAGCAAGGTACAGTTCAACCTCTCAGCCATCTCGTTTTGTTGCGGTGTCTCACGAACTGTGAAGTGTCGTCTAATGCCGTGATCCCGATAAAACTGCAAAAACGGATGACTTTTATACTCCCCTCCATTATCCGAATAAAGAGTCTTCACCTTTCTACCTGTCTGCAGCTTCACTTTCTTCTTCCACTCCACAAAAATATTCAAGACCTCATGTTTATGCTTCATAGGGTATACCCAATTTCTCCTGGAATAATCATCAATGAAAATGATAAAATAGTTGGTCCCATCAAGTGATGTGTGTTTGGAAGGGCCCCAAACATCTGTGTGAATATAGTCTAATATACCTTGGGTATTATGAATAACGATGCCAAACTTTACTCTCTTCTTCCCAAGTACACAATGCTCACATAGCTCCATCTTACAGGTCTTCGCACCTTTCAATAACCCCTGTTTCGCCAATGTCTGCAGGGACTTATCGTCAGTGTGTCCTAAACGCATGTGTCATAAACTGGTAGTGTCCTCCTTTGTAGTGATAGAAGCTGCTAGACCCCCTGTAACTGTCTTGCCCTTCAAGTAGTATAGGTTGTTTTCCCTGATACCTTGCATCACCACCATAGATCCTTTCGTGACCTTCAGAGTTGCATTCTTCAAGATCACCCGATAGCCAGCTGCCTTCAAAGTTCCAAGTGAAATAATGTTCTTCGTCAACTGTGGTACGAACCTTACTTCCTTTAGCTCCCGAGTCACCCCGTCACACACGTGGATCCGAACTGTACCAATACCATTAATAGGACATATGTGATCATTACCCATAAGCACGATATCCCTTTTTTTTAACTCCTCAAAGCTAGAGAATCAATCTCTCATAGGGCAAATATGATATGTAGCACCAGAATCCATCATCCACTCCGTAGAGTCAGCGTAACAAACTGACGGTAATGCTGAGCATGAAAAACCTGAAGAATCCGTATCTGAATTGTCGTCACTAGCCTTGACAATATTTACTTTCGAAGCTTGTACAACTTTTCCTTTATTTTTCTCGGCTTTATCTTTTAACTTTGGACACTCGTTCTTCCAATGTCCTCCTTTACAAAAATGACATTGGTTCCTACCAACACTCTTATGGCCACCTCTATTCCTCGATTTTGAGCGGTTGGACTGCCAATGGTTTGGAGTACAGCCTCGAACTGCT